TGGCCGTACCTGCGCCGGAGAGGAGCTGGTACTGGAGCAAGACGTCCAGGGACCGGAGGCCCACGAAAGTGAGGGTGCCCGCCGGGCTGGGCTTCTTGATCCCGCGGCGGATGAATTCATTCTTCCTCTCTTGTGAAGCCATTTTTGTCAATATTTCAATTGATGAAAGAGATGAGGAGAGGCAAGATGCTAGATGAGGGGATGCAACTAACACATCGACTTGTCATAGTCAACTCGGGCAAGACTAAACTCTAAGAAATTGGAGGGAAACGTTAAACATAGTGATGTCACAATATCGCAATTCTCCTCACCGTAAAGATGTTTCGCTACCATAGAGCCAAGCACATATTCATTGGTAGTTAGAAACGGGTACTTTTCATTGGACGTAACCCGGGGAGGATCACTAAGGTAGCACTTGGCTGTCGCGAATCTACCTCGAGCTTCATGAGTAATCGCATTAACTAGTTGATGGGGATATAAATATACATTTTAACATCAATCAATCAGTCACCAGACACCGCCAACTATATACACTTCAAGCATCTACAAGATATCAACCTTTACAGTTATCCCTATATCAATCAAGCGGTACGAGTAGGAATAACTATAAAGGTTGACATCCTGTAGATGCTTAAAGTACTTATATATAGTTAGTGGTATCTGGTGATTGATTGATTGATTGAGTAGTTGATAATGTGATTGATTGATCGATCGAGACGAGCTTTAAGTTGGAGAGGAAAGGTGGTTGTTATTGTTGGACGACAGCTTCTCTGAATGACCTTTCGGACGTCGTCCCGTACGTCCTCTCGGGAGATTGGAGTGATCTGATTGGTAGTAGCCTGAATGGTAGTGATCTCGTGCTGAATGATCTTCCGGATGTCCTCTTGGAGGTTCTCTCTGGTGTATGGAGTAACTCGATTGGCAGTTGAAGTGTCGCTTGAGAGCGCGTCCTTGATGATTGCCTTGATGTCGGTTGTAGACGTACGCAGCTCCCTGTTGGCGGCTTCAAGATGTTCGATATAGTTGGACTGATACAGTGCACCCTTCTTGATTCGCCAACCCAATACCGTCCATACACCACGTGTGAGTTGATCGTCACACTTTAGAGCCATTGCATGTGCGTGGTTTCCAAGCTCGTACATGGGATCGGTATGGCCGAGTTTTTATATCTGGCTGTGTAAATGACTCCTATTAGTAGGTAGAGTTTTTGTAAGGTTGATGCCTGTACCCGGGCTGAAAGTGTGATATTTTGACTTTTCCTTGTAGTATTGAAGGTTCGGGTATAGACTGTTAATCGTGTTCTCAACAAAAATTGTATGATCAGATTATGTGTTGCCTGATCTTGGGATATACCAGACCCTTGTTTATGGCCAAAAAAAAAAAAACGGAAAAGAAGACACATTTCAATATATATTCATAGATATCCTTTTTTGGTTCAGAGCAACAGCCAAGAATCATATATGTGTTGTTGCGTTTCCCGATACCAGCCGGTACACGCAAAACCCATCCTTTTCAGACGCAATTTCTACAATAATTGGAGAATAAAATGATAAGATAGAAACAATAAACCTTATCTACTTTGGAAGAGGTTTCATATTGTATTATTTATTTATTTAGATACCTGCGAATTGGATAGTTCTGTATTATTGTTTGCATGGGCCATATGTTTGTCACGCGCCTGTCATCTGAGAGTGCTACAGTGACCATAGCTATATTGGGATCGCCGCCATGTCTCCCGTGGACGGTTGCGTGCATATGGTGTGTAGCATCGACGGTAATGGGGACCAATGGCTGCTCCATCGGCACTCTGAGATCGTTACACTGAGGCACAAATCCTCAAGTGAGATCCTACAGTGCCAACACAACCTAGCAGATGCACCGGCTGGATGCCCCTCGAGAAGGGTGAGACCAAACACTGCGCGTGCCCCTCGTGCAGTCTTACCTTATCCCCCTCACATTGGAAAAGAAGGAATTGATTTCTTGTTGGTGAACTATACGCTGTTGGCCTGGGGTGGAGTGATTTGGGTGGATGCCTTTAGAAACATGATTCTGATCTGAGAGTTCCCAATCAAAATGGAAATTAAATTTACATGCTGACTACAGGGTGACATGAACCAGGTGGTGTGGGCTTGGCGCACTCAACCGCAAGTGGTTCACGATTCGAAATGTAACCCTACGGACATGGTTCTCGGTCTGTTCTGGGTGAGCACCGAGGTTCTGGTGATGAGGGTGGGATGGGTTGGGCAAGAGACTAATATTAGAAGCATGTATTAATATTTGTTCATGTCCAAGAAGAGCAGTTCCCCGCCCTGAGTAAGAGTAAGAGAGGACCCCCCTGTCTGCCTTTTTCATCCTTCATTGGCCCGTTATGAATGAGGACATGCCGAGCTTCGCCCAAAGCAGAACCAATTTTGCCATGATTGGAGAGGTGTCCAGCCAACACTTGCCAAGGGTTTTTTTTTCTTGCCCAAATAAATCAATAGTAATACTGACTAGGTGCTAATGTAATATATGCGTGTGCTTTTGTGTTGGGTCACCTTGGATGCGATCTGTTGGCGGTGCCTCGAATCGATCAGGGATATACGATGTTGGAAGTGCCTCAGATGACGTGCAATTGTGCGACAAGCTCATCTCGAGGACGCGGCCTGGTGCATATCATTAAGACGTCGCTTGTTTTGGAAGTCTTGAAACCATCCTTGGGCTTGTGTGCTCCCGTCTTGTTGGTCGCCAGCCAGTCAGAGCCCCAGCAAGAGCATCATCGGGCTGAACGAGGGCGACCAGGGTCTCAGAAAGTCTCGGAGGTGGGCGTGTTCCACAATGGGATGGAGCTGCCTGCCCCGTGTGTTCTGTCATAGTCCCCTGGGATTAGAATTGCTGAATTCTAATGGAAGCTTGCCGGCGCAAGTTGAGGCTTGCGGGTGATGAGAGACCAGCGTTTCAGAGGCCTACTGGCTTCCACCTTAGCCCCAGCCAAATTGTTGACAGATCGGACCATCACCCCTAGTGGCCATTGCGAGTCATCCGGTAGTTGGCTTTTCATCATTGCGCAATGGAGATGCGGCGTTCTCGATGTTGATCGTGGTCAGACTCTCAAAAGCCAAGGGGGATCGCTCTTCTAGGGCTTCCTCCACGAGGCAATTAATTGCAGATGAGGTCATGCATGCTGGGGGGGGCAAACAAACTAGACACCCATTCCAGCCAACGCTGGTTTTCATCCTGCAGAGGCTGGTGCGCTGCATGCATTGCTTTTTTTAAACTGTGGTCACTGGCTCGTCTCGTAGGCCAAGCTGCTTTCAGACGGTGCTCGCAATTATAGAGCCATAGCGCAATAGCGCACCGGTGAGCTTACCCTCATCCACATCACTCCCTCTGGCCGTGTTGCGGAGTCGCACGGAAGGATTGGCTTGGGTCGGTAGGCCTCGACTGGGCTGAGTCGACTTGCGATCTAGTTGCATGTCTCACGCCTATAGTGCCATGCGGCTGGCCCAGCTTGGGGTGCACGTATGCCATGGAATTGAATTTTCCTCCTCTCCCAGTAGGTCACCAACGTCGTCGGTGATTGCTGGCTGTTGGCTGGCAAAAGGGCGCAGGGCATCCATCTGCTGCGTCCCGTTCTGGCACTGCTCCGCCTAGCGTGTAGCAGAATATGCTGACGGCTCGCCGATCGTGCACAAAGCAGAATGGGCGATGAAGATCAACATATGGCGCTTTTACGGATCGCCTGGTATTGAGGGTGCTGATCAGAAGAATCGCACCTTTCTGGCTCCCCTCGCACGAGGCGCTAGAGACTAGGCTCTGCATTAGGCACGAGGGAGCCAGACACATGCAGACGCAGTGGAAGAGCGAGATGGATACAGCACACTAAGGCTGACAGTCATCTCATGGGTATCCCGGCCCAGCACCTGCCTGCCCAGCACCATGAGCTGGGTCGCACCTACCGTAACAGCTAATTTCGGTTGTGGCCCTAGGGGACGGGGGCCAATGGCAGCGCTGCTGTCCCTGGCACCGGGCTCCACCGCGCCGCCAGTAATTGGCAAAATCGTCGGTTTAATGTCATTCGGGTTGAACAAGTGTTCACCCCAAGTCCCTTCTTGTGTGCCCTCTTGATGATCACTATCTTGCCAGTTGTGCACATCCACCTGCTCGCACAACTGCCTCCCTGCACGGCCTGATTGGGCCATCGCACACCGCGCCCCCGGCCTATGCATCCTCCAGAGCTGGGGGGGTTGCCTTGCCACTGCTGTAGCTGGTCTTTATGCAAGTGGATTTCAAGGCTGGCCCGCCATCCATGCCTGCACACTTACGTACTGAGCTAGCCGGTAGGTATCTTTTGCTGCCCTGTTGGTCCCTCTTGGGTAAGTTGTCCCCTCTGTGGTCTGTGTCTGTTGGGTCAGCTCTCTGAGAGGAACCGTTGCTGGCCCCGGTTTTCCTTCGCCCTTTGTTCTGTCCCCTCTGCCTTGACCGGGTTGTATCTCACCACCTCGTTGCCTCTAATCTACCCGCTCCAACCCTCCTCTCCTTCACCTCTCGCTTGCCTCTTGCACCACTTGAGTTGACCGAGACGGCACCAGGCGCCTGGGCTTTTGCGCCATTGATCGAAATCTTCCTGTTGTTTGCGCATCGCGGCACCGGACTGTCCATTCTCTTCTTCCAGGCGCGCGCCTTCTCGACTGCAGCGATAAATTAAAATTAAATCGCCAGCTTGCACAGCCTAGTACAGCTTCTCATCTATTGAGTCGCTCTCGAACCAACCGACTTCGACTGGTGGCTTGCTTGACCAACAATCTCGACGACTTTCCTTTCCTTATAAACGTTACAACTCCGACATTCAATTCTGTTCTCCACATATCCCCGTCCCAACGGCTTCGGGTACATTCCTGTCGACTCAACGCCTTATTTCGCATTTCTCTGATAACGCAACTGTTGGACATACAATTGGAGGCGTGACATTTCCTTACATCTGTACATAATTACACCATCAGGTGGCAACCGCCAGCAAAATGGGGGACAATGTACTAGCTCCGACTCGTAAGTCGTGACTACCTCATCTTTCCGTCGCTTGGATTTTGTAAGGTTTTGGGATACCTGATACTGACTCCCTCTCACTAGGAGCCCTCGATGTGAGGCAAATCGATACGGCAACCGCCCCGATGGGCCCTATCCTGGCACCAACTGCCACACAGGCCCCAGATGGAAACTCATTGGCGCTTGACACAGGTTCATTTACTCGCCCGACATCGACGGTTGCCTCATCGAGCACCACAAGCTCAACGACTTCGGCATCGGCAACCTCAACATCGGACTCATCCTCATCTGGTAGTGATAGTGGCAGTGGTGGGACGAGCGCGGGAGTGAAGGCTGGAATTGCGTTCGGTGTTCTTGGTGGTGTGCTTTTGATCGCTGCTCTGATTTACTTCATCATCACGTCACGGAAGAAGGATAAGAAGAAGCAGGCCAAGAGCCAAAGCGTTGAGAAGGGCGAGGAGAAGCACATCCCTCCTGCGCTTCCCAAGAAAGATTCAGTTGCGGGTGACGCACCACAACTCAGCCTTCGACCCATCACCGAGTTCTTCCCCGAGACTTCGCAAACCGACACCAAGACCAAAGACATGGCGTTGGCTCCTGCTGCTGCTGCGAATGCCAGCAACAAGCCTTTGCCGAGTGGCGGTAATAAGCCTCTCCCTACCGGTCGTTCTTCACCCCTGCCTAACCCATTTGATCGTCCAGGAACGAGCAATAGCGCTATCTCTGCCAATCCATTCGGTTATGGTGCTGAGCGACCTGTTTCTCCTATGACTGACAGTGGAAGCGCCATCTCTCCCAATCCGTTTGCCAACGACGCTACTGATCGCCCTGTCTCACCCATCACCGAAGCAGACAAGAAGAGCGTCTACTCGAGAGCCCAGAGCCCTGACAGAGCGATTGGCTCAACCAGAAATACTGTTGGATATAGCACCACTCACGGAACCCGCGTTACCTCGACGCATGTGGATATCGAGAATATTGATCTTACCCTCCCGCCACCCTCTCGAGCTGGTGCTTCGAGCCCTACTGGAACTGAGTTTAGCATGTCCGAGTTGGCTCCCGATGCGACACCCCCTCTCACAAATGGTGCGGCTGCTATCGCAGCTGCTGGTGGGCCGCCTAACACATCAGTCCATCGCGTCCAGCTCGATTTTAAGCCCACTCTTGAGGATGAATTGGAGCTTCGGGCTGGTGAGCTTGTTCGGTTACTTCATGAATATGATGATGGATGGGTGAGTAAAACTCTGATTTTAGCGGGTGATAGGGTATCAGCTAACAATATTTCTCTTAGGCCCTTTGTATCAAGCTGGATAGGAGCCGACAAGGAGTTTGCCCCAGGACCTGTCTTTCGACCCGTCCTGTGAAACCTCGCAACGCCCAGGGAGGCCAAAGCCCCAACTTCCCCTTCGCCAGCCCCGCTCGAGACCAGTCACCAAGGCGACCTATGACTCCAAAGGGCGGCGCTGATGCCAGGCCTGCGTCCCCGAACGTTTGGCCATCTGTGCAGAACAGCGGACCAGGTCCCAGCCGCATGAACCCGGCGAATGAGGGCCGAGGATCTTTGCCCGGAACTGCTCTTTGAGGAAGCCGACGTCTACAAGCATATTGATTAATCGTAATGGGCATTCAATACGACGGGTGCCACCCTTCTGGTATACAATGGACAGGCGTTCGAGGATTTTCGCCTATATTCTTTGATTGGAGAACATGGTTTGCGGAACCGACATTTTTTGTGTTTTGGGTGTTTTACGAGATATCATTCGTTTATGAAAGCCAGCATCTTGCGACCTGCGGCTTGTTTTTCTTCACATCATTCGCTCACATATATATTTATACCTGTACTTCGTGTATCTTACACTTACATTCTTGTCCATATATTGTTTTTTTTTTTCACTGCCGAGCAATCTGGCAACGACGATTCCCTGGAAAAAATAGGAATGTTCTCGAGTAGGAGTTTGTACTTGCTCTCAACGAGGGGGAGAGGTATGGCCAACAAACAAGCTAGCCGCTGATTCAATTTACTCTTATCTCTGCAAAGTCTCTAATCTTTTGCCTACTGTCGTGACTGTTCCATTGATTTGAGTGAATGTAGGGCCGAAAGGAAAAGGACGAAGAATAAACAAAATGTAGTCTTGCCTCATGAGGCCGAGTCACCTTTGGCAATTTCATGTTTTTGCTCTTCGTAGAACCGCCCTCCGGGATACTTTTGGGGTCAAATTTGCGTTTTGCTACGAACTTGGAGCTGGACTTGGCGCTCTGATTGTCCCGATTAATTGGACAGGAACCTGCTGCCTTTCTTGTACAAACGCTACTACCAACATTGGGCCTTGGTCCTTTGTCTGTTGGATTGCCCTTTGTGCCCTCTCCACCTTTGTGGCCATCTGAATTCTCTTAATGGCGTTCTGTTTTCTTTGTGCGTCTACCTGTTTGGCATTGAATCAAACTCTGTGGCCTCTGTGCCTGGTATTACTATAGCGTTTTGAATCACTCACACGGCTATTTGCAGTTCCCCCATTCGTTTTTCGTCGTATACTATTCGGAACCTTTGTCTGTGTTTAGGATGTACAAATGACTTCCCAACTTTTCTCTTCGCATTTGCAAAGACGACAAGTTCAATAGGAACCTCAACCTTCTTGTAAGATTCTGGAAGTAGCTCGAAATTTTCTGACCATATTTTTCAATATCCACATCGGGGATGTAATTGCTCCAGTGCCGAGCTATTTGCAGGTTTACGAGCCTCCACTATCTTGGCCTGGGACGGGCGGGCTGCTTGGAGACTTCTACTTCAGGTCTGAGTTTTCAGTTGTTGGGCTGGCTGGAAGTTCCCTTCGTAAATATAGACTGCTGGCTTCTGGCTTGGACAACAGCAGTAGCATGATTTGCGCTGTGTTTCTTGCTTGCTCCTTTTTTTTGGTTTTCTTCAACAACCTCAACGATCAGGGTAACGCAGACAATAAGAGAAGAGGTTATGGAGAATCATGGCTTGTTAGTTGGTATTAGTTTAAGAATTGCTACTAGTTTTCTGAAACTTTTCTTGGATGGCATTTCAAATCTTTTTTGGTCATTCAACGCTAAAGGACAATGCTTATTGATACACAGTGAAGTTATGACGAGATCCCTTGGGCTTGCTGATGTTTCCTAACTGTATCTATGTTACTACTATCAATTATTTGCGAAGGACCGCTGTAGGCCGAGGGATCTACGAGAGGCTAAGGAGAACTTGGATACAGGTTCGCCTATACTAGAAGCTCGAGAGAGAACAAGGCTCGACTGTTTGTTACGGTATACACAGCGGGAGTGACTAAGTATGAATGTGAATTCTGCTCTATTGGAAGTCGTCATGGAGCACCTGTATGTTGGGCTTTCATCTATACAAATGATTTGAGATCACAGACTCTGGACTTCGGCTCCTGTAGAAAAATAAGGGAATATCTGTGGTTGACCAACTTGTTCAGAAACACAATGCATTCACCGACATGATGATTTGCAAACACAACTAACAGAACAAACCGTGCTTGTATCTCGAAATTAAAAGTATATAAGACTCTCAGGTTAAGGTTGGTCCCAGTCTTCATGTCAAACCATCTCTGTAGCTATTGAAGCACAAGCTCTACCAACTCGCACCCAAACTCAACAACATCATAGGCAGACCCATCACCATGGCCTACCTCATTGCTGAGTGGGATTCACCCATTGTGATGGACGAACCGGTATGTGTCTTGATAAGTTCTCCTGGGAGATTATAGGATCTATAGAGAAATAGGGCTAATTGTGTTGAACATAGGCATGTCCGGAACTCGACGTGATCATGAGGATGATCAATGACCCTAGCTTCACCATCGACCAGGCAATTGATGAGATTTGTGGTCTCACTGCTGCGGCTTCAACCGAGGATTTTCAAGCTGGACACGCCCGCCGCTCTCTATACCAACACAGTGGACGGATTCAGATGATTCTTCAGAATCTGGCCGTTACAATACCTCATTATCGACAATCGAGACTTATTAAATTTGTCCTCCGCCTCGAGAAATCTACGGTACCAGACCCCAACCGCAGCGGGATTGTAGGAGATGGAGAGGACATCTTCTGGACGAGTGTGCCTTCGTTTGCAGAGAACCTAGTCCGGCTTATGGGTAAGGGCTGCGGGTACTGTAGCGGATTTGAACAAGATAGACTAACGTTCATCTAGTTGAGCTCAACGACAACGGTGAATTTGACCCGGCCCAAGAGAACTTGGCAGCTTTCCTTGCCCAGCTATTCGAGGCAGGATATCGTGGCTGTCCAATGGTCCCGGACTGGACCTACGCTTACACCGTAGCCGCTCTCCAAAACGGTTTCAGACCAGACAAGCGGAATGTACGAATGTTCTGCATTTGGCTGATCTATGCCAATAAGAAGCTCTGGTTGGATACTCAGGGGTCCCATGAGCTGTTCAGGCCGGAATACTGGGAAAGATGGAGGGCGCTCCTACTTGATTGGCAAAGTTCCAAGCCGGATTGGTTCTCGGATGAGGACACGCAGATGCTTATAATGCGCGCTCTGGATACTATGGGCATTACCCAAGCTGAGAATTAAGGAGAATCTTGGGATTTTATTGCGAGTTTCGGTCAAAAATGTAGAAATTTCTCAACTTTAGGAAAGAAGCAATCCTCAGGGAATCTTTTAGCTGCACTATATATCACATATTTGGTGACTGAGTTATGTCGGTACAGAGTTCGTCTTCACGAGGAAGACTGCCTGTTAAGAGCATGGTACTTGGGCCCATTTAAGGTACCACGACCCAGTTCGCTTTTGCCTGGTGTTGACGTACTTTATCCAGTTAGATCCATCATCAAGAAGCTCCAGCGGGAAGGCGCGGATGGCACGTAGATGCTGCCTGGGAGGCCGGCTTGGAGAACTTAGGCAAGTACCTTCCGCCTCCGTTTCTTTCTGGTTCATCTCGCCCATCATCTTTCACTTTCTTTCGACTGGGTTGAATTTACGAAAATAATAAAAAGCATCCAGTGTAATAGTACCAACATCATACCTACCTACCTACTTCCGCAATACATTTACTACTCCCACCTGATGGTCTTCCCTAACATCCCGCCCAGCACTCCGCCTCTAATTTCCACATAATACCAGATTGGAACGATAGGATCCCTGATGTTAAATGAAGCCTTACAACTATTTCATGCGTCTTTGACTAGGTATTGTAGAGAGTAAAGCGAAACTTTTCACTCACACCCTCTCCACCCAACAACGCAATTCTAACTCATCCCGTGGTCAGACCCTCCTCAGCTCTAAACTTCCATGAACAGGCATGCCTGCAGTGATGTTCTTTCTTCTTGTCGCTATATTGACCTCGAGCCTCGCTTTTGCGGTAGCTGTACCTCTTGAAAGCACGTTCGACTCGCACGCCAACGGTGCCTCTCCGGGAAAGGGAAATGAGAACACAGCCTACTCTCCCAAGACGGCCCCAAGTCACAAGAGTGTGGATAGCCACTCCGCAACGGCCGATACTTCGGGCCCCGCAGCCATTGGATCTATCTTCAATGGCGTTTGCCGCCAACTCTCACTTGGTGGGCTCGGTCAAATAGGTGCCACCACGTTGAGCGCCCAATGTGTTGACGGAGCAGGGCAGTGGTGGGATACAGACCTGAATTTGAACCGTTGTATGGGAAACGAAGGAGGTAGGCTCATCTACAAAGAACAGTAAGTTTGCCAGCCCTTGTCTGCGGATTTAAGCTGACTCTCTTCCACCAGTGGGAATTTTAACAAATCTTGCCGGCTTTGCGTGATGCAACTTCGAGATAGGGGCGACCCCACGTTCAAATGCAAATGCGTTGGCACCAAAGGAATATGGAATTTTACTTCAATTCATTTCGGGATTCATTGTTAGTGAAACTCCGAATCGAACCTTCCTCATCGTCGAAGAAGTTATGCTAACTCTGGTGCTTTTAGCTGAGGACCAACTTACTGTACGGCCTATTGAAGGACGGTTAGTTTGTGGTGACCGACTGGGGAGCAAGACTCCGGGTATATGATACATGCCCACGAAACCAGAGTGAAGTTGATTGGAATCAAGACTGGAATTGCTGACATCGTTTGAGGAGAAGGTGGGGATTTGGCCGGAGCTCGCCATGCTTCCTTTCCAGTCCTGGTGGACAACAAGACATGATGCGATAATGTGAGTAGTATACGAGATGTCAAAAGAAATTGTTTACAGCTGAAGCCCTGGGCACGTATGAGGGAATATTGTGCAATTTCTTTTCTTCGCGATGTGATAAACCGATGCTGGCAAGATGCATAGCTCCTGGAGTGACACAAGTTTGAAGCCTGTGGCCATTTCGATTCTACGTGTGTATATATTCTAGCTAACGAATTTGCCACCGCAGGCACCGCACAAATCTTCGGATGGTGGAACCGAGAGGGGGTCCTGCGCGAGATGTTCCATTGCAAGCTTGGTCAGTTCCGAGTGCCTCAAGCAGCGTCTTTGACACACTGCGCACACTCTCGATACGCCGGGAGCCATAATGGCAAGGCCGGAAGATGTACACGTGGCTGAGTGTTGGAGAAGACGTGTTAGCATCCTTATCTTGGTATTATAAAACTGTATTTGGGGCAGAGGGTTTATTAGAAGGAGTGGGAACTTACCAAATGTATGATTGTTACTGCACCGCGCCTCTGCACCGTCGATTTGTAGTCCCGAATCGCAAAAAACACATGCCTGGTTCTCCCTCAGATCTCTGAAGAAGCTGTCCTGAGGGGAGGCGCGATAGAGCGAGGGATCGACGCTGGCGGATGTCGTAAGGCCCGGGACCTGGGCGCCGCCACCGTACATCCACTCCCAGACCTTTCCTTCCGTTGTGAGTTCTCCTGGCGGCTCTTCTTCTTCGGCCTGGTCTCCGGGTCTTCTGGGAGGTTTGCTCTCGAACAGGAGTTTGCAGAAACCTCGCCTGTGCGGGTAGTAGTTGCTATACTGCGATACGAGAGCGGCTGTTGAGCCGCCGCCTGGGGATGATATCAGCCCCCAGAGCCTGTATCTGTAAGGGTGGAGATCGGGCTTGGATTCGAAGTCCTGGTATAATTCGTCCACATTATCGTCTTCGTCTTCATCGGAGTCGTCAAGCAGCGTTTCAGGGGCGGCCTCCCTGGGTATCAGTCTGGTCGTCTGCTTGGTGATCCTTTCCACCCAAGGTGGGAGCTGACCAAGACTGTCTGGCACATTTGTCTGGTACCAATCCTGGTTGAAGGAGGTAACAGAGGATCTGACGAGTGTGTATAACGGGGCTGGGGATGGGTTGGAAGCGTCTGGTTGATGTAGGACAAGGTCTGTTTGAATGTCAATATTTAGGGTCCTCGCTTGATGTGGGAGAGAAGCTCCTGACCAGATATGGGGTTTGATACGGACGATTGGGGGTATGTCGTGCCACATTCGGCTGTTGGGTGTAGCTTCACAGGCGGGCTTGGAGAGCTATCGAGGTTGACCTGGAAGGGCTTTACCTCGAAAGGGGTGCATAGCATCCCTCGAGCAACCATTCGGCCACTTTTGGTGATGGGCTTCGGTAAAGTTAACATCCACTAGGTCTTGATTACATATAAGGGCATAATGCTTACCTTGCTCTCCCATTCAACAAATGCATCTGTTGAAAGGAACACACACAAACTGGCAGAGTCTGATTCCTCCACCTTTACTTCTGGGTTGGTCCCAGGAGCCCACGAGCGATTGACAGCCACCCGTCGAAACCCTACGTAGTTATGTGATATATACGATAGTGTGGAGACCTGGGAATCTCCTTCTTCAATCCAGGGACTCCAATTCAGAGAGAATGCAGTGCCGTGTGGAACATAATCTGAATCCATCAAGTCAACAGGCTAAGAGCAGAAGTCAGCATGATAAAGAGATTCGAGTTAAGCAAGACAGGAACGTACTTGGTGAGGGCCGCGAGAATCAAACCTGGCTTCTTCACGGATCTGCCAAACCGGTTGTGTGCCAGACGAGGAAGACGACCTCTCTCCCGAGTTCGTTCGCTGAACGCTCATGATGACCACATCATCCTCGTCGGTAGCGTAAGCAAGGAGCGCCCTCCCCTGTGAGATCTCCTTGGCCCAAGAGAAGGACGTGATCCGCTCGTCCATTGTCCTATAAGACCCCTCCTGGTCCTCTGCAGGCAATGGCAACTCGGCTCCAAGACCCCATAGTATTTTGAACAGCTTCGTATTGCGGCTGCCCCGCCCAGATCCCGCCGCCGCACCGGCGTCAACCTCCTCTCCTATCGTGAACATATGCCCACTCGTCATCAACGCCGTCAACACAGGGCGCAGATTACTCCCCAACCCATTGGGGGACCACTCGACCCGCACGACCTGATTCACCGACGCCCCCGAGCCGGTAACTTCTCGACCGGGGATGTGGGACACGCTCAGCTCCCTGTCCGCCTCTTCCGAGGGCGGGAGGCGGATGCCCTGGAGGGAGCACAGCCTGTTGTTGAGGGGCGCGTCCGGGCGGAAGTTGCCCGCCGCCTGGAGGGCGATGGAGAACTGGTGCTGGGGCGCGTCGGCCCGCTCAGCAGCCGCCGCCGCCGGCTCGCCGTCCTTGGACGCCCTGGGGTACTCTGGGAGGAAGATGTAGATGATCTCGTCCGTCGCGACGGCGAGCTCGCCGTCGCATGACCAGGCGAGGGCGCGGTTGGTGAGCGGGCGGCTCTTCAGATTCAGAGTTTTGAGAGTGCGAATCTGGGGTGTAGATTGTTAGAGGATGGGTTGATGGAAGGACTTTAAAAAAGACACTGGGGTATATATTGCCGTATGGGATTTGAGACCATCGCGCAAGTTAAATATGCCAATTGCGACATGGTGAGTGATGGCTCATATGATTTTTCTTACCTGAGACTGGTCCATGTTGCTGGATTGTGTAAAAGGAAAATTTATCGATTACATTTGATCCATCTCTTGCGATGAGACAGTACAGAGAAGAAAAGGTATTTTCACTATGAATGGAATTTCCACAAGAGAATTCGAACCATGTTGGCTTTTATTGCGTTTCGTTTGTGTAGATACACCTTTGAAAGGTCTGAGATAGAGGTAGTGAATCAAGTTATGAATTTGAGGCTCTCTCAAGTTAGCTGACTAAGGCAGTATGGTCGCAGACATCTACCAATGTTCAATGCATTTTTAATAACTTATAGATGGTACAAATTTTGCTTATTATTTCCTAAATGGGTATCTATTTCCAATGTTTTTGTGCTGTATATACATATAGTTGTTGGTGGTTATGCCGTCAAACGAGAATAAGCCACATGCTAAGGATAAGCTGCCTCGAACGCCGACTCGCTGTCATTAGATGCGTACTGGAAGACAAGATAGTCTTTACCTGAATCTGCACTTGCCTGTGGGTAAAGTCAATTATCGTGTTGTTTTCTTACGTTTCAAGGAAAGATCCTAGTGCCCACAGGCCAACACAGCCAGCCAAAGCCGTGGCACCGACCACTTTCTTTGTCCACCAGTTGTCCTCTGTCAGAGCTGTTGCGCCCCGAATGTGCTTGACAGGCTCAGTAGGCTGAGATGCCGGCACGCTGGTCGCATTGTTGTATTGGTTGAGTTCATCGGCCTCCTTTTGTCGGAGCATGGCAATGGTTCTACCCAGCTCCAAGAGCTCTTCCTCAAGCGCGCCATTCTCCTTCTGGTCCACCTCGACATTCTGGATGTTTCCGAAGAAATCGGTGATTAGCCGACTTCGGGCTACGTCAGCGCCACCGGGGAACAGGTCGTATCGCATTCCTGGGTTGGAGTGGATCTTGCTGATATCGTAGCTGTCGAACAAGTCGCCAACTGTTTTCTGGCTGCTGAGGTCCTTGACTTGGTTCTCAAGGAATTCCAGATTGTAGTAGGTGTAGCGATCGATGACGGCAACACCAACGTCGTTGTCGGCGTGGTGGGAGTAGGAGGATTGGTCGAGCTCCGACGAGCCAGTGGCAATAATATTGGGCGAGTATAGTCGGCTGAACATCGTGTTTGCTTGACAGGTGTCAATCATGAACAGGATTTCGTGATATCTAATGTGGAAGGTGGTTAATTAGTAAAAAAGAGCCCATCAAGTAATTTGATCGGGGAAGCCTACCTCTTCTTCTCCCACATCTGCTGGAAAGCGTCTGCGAGATCCCAAGCACCAATTTCCTCGGCATCCTGGAACTTGAGGAACTCATTACCTCCGTGACCCGTCATATAAATCAAGATGTTGCTCTTATCGTCGGTGAGCAGGCGCTTGCTTCTTGGCATCTCGTCGCCAACACGGTCGGTGAGCAGGCGGATAAAGTTTTCGACAGTAACCTCATAGCCACGATAGTCCACCTCGATGTTGTCTCCGTATAGGTCCATCGCACGGTTCGAGTTGCTATAGACGGTGCCGGGGAAGGCATTGCGGGGGTTGCAAGCCATGTCATCGGGAAGCATGAGGATGATCTGGGAGTCGGGGATGCCAAGCCGCTTTACGGTGCGGTACATGGAGAGCACATTGGAAAGATGTCGGTAGTTGAACCAGAAGCGCGAAGTCCCTACTAGGACGGCCCAATTGTTGGTATGTTCGGCAGAAGCGAGAGGCAGGAACAGTGATGTGGCCAGGACGGCCAGGAGGCGGATAGGGAACAACATGGCGATGGTGAAGGGGTTGCGCCCGGCCGCCTACAGGACGTAGAGGACGAGGATGATGAAAAAGAACGGAACTGTTCTGGCGGCAGAGGATCTCGGCTGTGCGCCTTTGGTCAGTGGTGGTCGACCTGTATGGGGTTGAGCATGAGGATGGAAACGCATGCGTCCAGGTCCGAGGCGTATTGAAGGTAAGCAGTGGGCGAGATGACAAATCCGCCACACGCGTCGGTGCTGTGGTGTCTTTCGCTTGGCACTCACTGCATACCATCTCCCTTTCAAAAACACGTTCCAGTACAGCTACAGCTACAGAATCGGTGATGCCATCTTTCATCTAATATTTGTGAGTAATTACTATACTCTGATTCTCTGTGCCTACCTATGACGAAGGTCTTCCTTAAACAGTTGGCCATGCACTAGGATGCCGTAGAGAATGGATCCCGCCTCGGAGCTCAGGGCGACGGAGCCCCTGTTTGAGTAGTGGTTCTATGGAGCCATTGGCGCTGGAGTGCGTCGTGCATGCTGTACATGATATTATACCATTGATAAATATCTGACCATGCCATTGATTTCATCGTACGTGTGGTCGGTGCAGAGGGATCATAGGCTTCGCCATCGGTTGGATCTACCTATGTACCTGCTGTCACACAAGAATGGGCGCCTCACTGTCATGCAGCTTAATTGGGCCTTTTGTACGAGTAATGACAAGTGGTTGAAATAAAACATGGCACGCCAGAGTTCTTTTCGTGCAAGCTGGAGACCTCATTCTGTTATTAATAATATTTCAATAATAATAAGATAATATATTATTATATAGTATTTAGCTTGATATTGTATTAATAACTGGGTTGATTGTTTTGATATTGTGTCGAAATCTGAGGCTGTATGGAGGCTTTGGTGTGCCATGTTTTATTTCAGCCACTTGAATGAATACGAAAGACAAAACTAAGCTTTACTAGCGTAAGGCAGGAAAACACTGTAGACCTTCAGGCCTGGTTTTTGCAAGCTTTATCTCCCAGGTAGGTAGGTAGGTACCTCGAGCACTTTTCAGCTGCTGTCTGGGTCGCACCTTCCTGCTCTAGGTCTGTATTGGCTCACCTCAGCGACAGCTTCTCAGCCCGAAGCACGCAGCCTCACCATCATCACCAGCAGCAACTAAAACAACAAAACATCCACAAGCACAGCACCATCAATCACAATAAGCGACAAGTAAGTTAATAGCTACCACCATATCCAAAGCTACCTACTAAAGAGATCTAACACATTGTTCCAAGTCGTGCGGTTTTGCGAACTACAGGCAGTTAGTCTCAAACTGTAGTACCCAAACACAGTCCTACTGCAAGGTAGGTAAGTTAACTTCCAAAGAGTTATAGCATAGGTACAAATTTGTATGTTAACGATCTAGAAGCTAAAAATTATTTACTTTATAGCAGAGATGAAGAACACAGCAATATTCCCGGCGAAGGAATGGCTTCTACCCCCCCTTCTGAAACTAAATACCCGGGCACTTACTACGATTGGGATATTGCCATTCACCAGAACACCCTGGCAGTCTTCTGGTGTGTTGTTTTTATCATGGCTTTGATTCTCACCGTAGGATTAGTTGCGCGGTTGCTCGGCTTTGACTAGTTCAGAGAAGAGGCTAGACATCAGGAAACCGTTCATCCGCATCACACCGTGTGAGGCCTCATACGTTATAGAAAATGGCGCCCCTCAAGATCATGTGAGAGATTAGTCTCCTACGATTGTTATTATAATTTCTCCAATCTTGATACGTAGTCAAGTGGGTGACAGGAGAAATGAGACACCCAATGGAAGAGTGGTTCTATTTTCGAACATAAATCAAGACACTCAATAGTGTAAAACGAAAGAAAGTGACAATCTTTGCTGTATCATCTCTCAAGCATGTATTACTGGCACTCAATAATTTAATAATACCGGTTGCAGACTGGAGAATAAGCAGCGCAGCTTAATGTTTGGGTGTCTCAATTTCAATTTCACCCACTTGGTAGTCTACGGGCTCACTACGCCAAGTAGCATTTCACTCCTCGTATTTATAAGTTTTTATGACTGGACTAAGCGAAAGGCTAAAACCTTCACTACATGCAGGAATTAATAAATACGACAATAGTCAGACCAAAGCCGATCATTCCTCTTTCGCTTCTATATTGCTGGGAAAAGACTTGTCTATTGCAAAATGCGGATTCGAGAGTACGTCCCAAAATTTCACATTTCAATGTTTAAAGGATGCTAACATACGAATAGGGTATTTCTTGATGCGCCAGAAGACCCTGTCAATGAGAATAGTCAGGGTTCCTGTCCAAACGAGCTGAAAGACGAGGAGAAGCAAGCGTCAAATACGGAGAAGCCCCCCTCGTACGACTCCCGTCGACCGCATTGCCAGCCTGACAATGTCACGCAAAAGTCAGACAGCAGGGATATGGATGTTCCTTCTATGCCTAAAACTCATCAAATTAAAGTGCTTTCTACATCAGATCGGAACTTACGGCATTGCTACCAAGCACAGAAATGGACCGCTTGCCTCACACTTGAGACATGTGATCTATCTCACCTGATGAAGAAAGGATTTTATTGGGATAAGTCGTCCATCGAACCCGAAAGGGGCTTCTTTCTTTTGAATCAAAAGGATCTGCCAGAGAACGAATCTCAATGGGGATGGAAGTGTGCTCGCGTCTATCAGTGCTCTAAAATGAGAGAGGGCATAATCCAGTGGAAAGGACAACTTCGGATCTTAGCTCAGGAATTGAAAACCTTGTCTGAGTTTAACTTAGATATACTCACTATGGATGCTATTCACACTATGAGGATAAAAGACTCTGAGGGGCGAATTGTCTACTGGTATTCCAGACCGGAGCCAGAGCATAGTTGCAATGCCTACTACGATCATATGCCCATGGAGGGTTATTGGCCATGGCCGAAAACGGATGAGATTCTTTAGCCAGGCAAGTGGGCGTTAGACCTATAATACCATAGGGACCGCACAGGCAGTTTAGTCCTAACCTGCGGTAATGGGAGGGCGCCATCCACCTGGACACCTGGGCGATCTTCTGGTGGTTAGTTTTTATTGTGGCTGTTTTTTCGCCGCGGGGTTCGTCGGATGGCTGCTCAAGAAAGTGAGAGAGCTATCAACACCAACAAGTTTATACCCGGCAATGACTCTTTCGTCGGCATGACTCCTTTCATCAATCTCAAGACATGATCATACCTTTCAATCGTTCAAATCCCGACCGTTCGCTGTGAACCGCGATGATGAAGTTGCTGAGCACTAAAGAAGTTGAGGAGTTGGCCTCAAGCTGGAGGTTACGGAAGAGAGAGAATAAAGTTTAACAATAATGAAGCTCCCAGGGCTCGGACAACTCAACACGCATTTACATGTAGCCACACAAGTGGGTGACATAAAACGTGGCACACCAAAGCTCTTTCCGCGCAAGGCAGGGGCTTTATCTTTTTCTTGACTAAATATAAGAATAAGAGAGTAATAAACTATTCTTAATATTTAGCTTGATATTGAATTCAGTACTAGGTTATTTGCATAATATTGTGTTGGAATTTAATACTGAATTATCACGATGTGCCATATTTTATTTCACCCACTTGCCACATACTATGCATGTTCACTGTTCGGCTAGCTGGTTTAGTGGTTCCTGCCTTTTTATTTGTCATCCAAGATGGCAGTACTTACAAATGTGCCGTTGCATGGGCCTGTCAATTTACAAACCACCTAGGAGGGAATCAAGCCATGGCATGGCAAATCCTTACCACATTGTATCTGTCCCCTTGAAGAATTATCCGCACAGTGTTCTTAAGCTCAATTCCGGCGATCGTGACTGTCTTCCTTTGCGGACTTTTAATATCCGATATCCAGCTCTGGTTCTGGAGATTTCGTGAATATAGCCGGAGCCGGAGCCGGAGGAGGGTTGATCACATGCCAGAAAGCTCTGGTCGCGCTCAACGCGGAGCCTAGACAGGGTTCTTCCCTTGAAGCTAGTGGGTAGTGAATGGGCTTCTCCAGAACCATGCGCAACACTGCGACCTTGGCCAACGGCATGGCGTACCTTGTGACCGTGGATATTTTCAGCCGGGCCAAACCGCAACCAACTCTAGCGATGCGACAGCACCACACCACATCCAGCGGCACCGAATCCAGAAGCCAGGCGCGTTGTGCGTGTTGGCTGGCTGGCTGTCTGGGCTTGGTGGCTGAATCCAGGTCGCAAGGTTAGAGGCTTGTCGCCCTGTCATAGGCCAATCCTGCTGCCTGCCCCCTTTCACCGTCACGCTTCCCCGAGAATTGAAGTTCCATTGCATGTCCCTCGTTTTCGGGACGCTGCTGCAAGCTGACGTGCAGGGAGGGGCCGCTATTCTGGTCTCTAATCCCCCCCAAATCAGCCAATGCTGGGACCAGGCAGCCATTCCCGAAGGCAGATCATCCACACCACCCGCGCTTCATACTGCTGCGTCTGTACTTGCTCGCCGTCAGGTGCTTCATTCATCCAGAGTCTTCACCTCACCATTAGCCTGCCGATGTATCTGGCACTGGTCGGCTGATTTCGAAACCCCGCCTCGGTCGCCTCCAGTTTTTCGCTTGCCTGGTGAATCAGATCCCTGGCAGGGGCTCATCCGTCCGTGTCTCTCCAACCCCGACTTGCTTTCGTGACGCAACTTAAATTAGCACCTGGACCTACCTAGTCCTTCCTAGACACTGGACCTTACCAAGCTCCCATAATCAAAACGCCGCCGGACCCCTCCCCTCGATGAACTAACTAGTCAGCCCACTTCGCGCGTCAGTCACTTTTTAATATATTGAGAATCTTCGCTAGCTTGTGACAGGCGACGCACCCAGTCCTTGCTGTCCAGCGCACTTTGCGTCTCCTGAATTGGGACATCTCGCTCCCAACCTGCGATTTCGGACTCGAAAACTGAACCTCGTTGATTCTCAGCACGTCTTTGCCCTTTCTCTTGGAAAACAGCTGGTTTCCGGCACTTGTACCTGTACCTGTACCAAAGCAAGGCTCCGCGACCCACTAGCGCATCGCGAACCTCCCCCAGGTCTCACCTCACCTCCGTCTATGACCTTGGACTGCACCTCAAGCCTGCGTTTTCGAGTGGCCCTACTTGAAGGGCCATTGCCATCATGGCTGGGCTTCCCTCCCATATTTTTGTCGTTAGGTTTGTCAGACCGCCCCGGATCCTGCCCGGGTCCTAACCACGACCTTCTTACTGACCGTTGCCTGCTGGTATTTAGACATGGAAACCGTTTAGATGCTGCCGACAAGAAATGGCATCTCTCGTCCCCGACCCCATACGATCCTCCCCTCACATACAATGGCTTTCAGCAAGCCCGATCAGTTGGCAATCAGATTGCTTCCATATTGGAGCAGGCCAAACAAGACGCCGAATCGCCATCAGCAAACCCAACCGGCAGGCGGAAACGCTTTCGAGTTGTTATTCATAGCTCCCCATTCCTGAGATGTGTTCAGACGTCTGTTGGGATCAGCTCGGGCCTGGCCCAAACTGCCCCAGGTTCTACTCTCAGCCCACCCGAGCTCATCCTGCCTAGGGCACCTCCCCCCGGGAAAACCGACACTCCGTTTCGCTCTTCAATCCTTCGCCTCGATGCCTTTCTTGGCGAATGGCTGTCGCCGGAATATTTCGAGAATATTACTCCGCCGCCAGGCTCGTCTCTCATGATTGGCAGTGCCAAGGCTGACCTGCTGAAGCGGGAAGATTATAGCATATACACTGAATCTCCAATTAATGATCCCCCTCCACAACCCAGGAAATCGTCGCTATGGAGCGCGTCCCCCATCCAAAACTCGGGAAGCGATGAGATATCAGGAAGCTCCTCGCCTTCCAAGCCAGTTGATGACAAGAATACCTACAAGCCTCTGAGACCAGCCTATGCAGTCTCCAACGCTGGCCCGATACCCCACGGCTTTGTAGCTCATGCCCGGGACGAGTGCGTATCTGTGGACTACCAATGGGACTCGTCGAGACCTCCCTTGGATTTTGGAGATGGTGGTGATCTTCCCGAAGAGTGGACGACTATGCATAGGCGCTTCCGGGGCGGCTTGAAGAGGATGATCAACTGGTATGCGACTGCCGAGGACCCTGCTGAGCTGGTCTCAGTGCCAGTCAACTCGAAGGCGAGCCTAAACAACGGTGTATCCAATGCGTCGAACGAGGATATCGAAACGGTTGTTATTATAGTCTCCCATGGCGCAGGCTGCAATGCTCTTATTGGAGCCATCACGCACCAGCCGGTTCTCATGGATGTGGGAATTGCTTCGATCACGATGGCTGTGCGGAAGCCAGATTTGGACTATCCAAAGCTCCTTCAGGAGACACAGGCCCAGGACCACAGGGGGAAACCTCTCGTTCACATTGACTACATGTATGACATTCGGATTTCCGCAAGCACGGAGCACCTCCTTTCCTCCTCATCAAATTCACCCCGTGTTGGGAGCATGAGTGGTGGCTGGAACAATAACGGTCGTGGCCGTACGTCAACTCTTGGGAGCACCCCTGGCCCAGCTCTTGGAAGCATCAACTTCAACGATTCGTTTTCCGGCAGCGTCGGCGCTGGCCACCGTAGCAGCTCGGCTAGCGCGACCTTTGGTGTGCTGAAAAGACGAGACTCGGGTTCGCAACGACCTGGTGCTCGAGGCTCCTTGGCATCAACTGGGCTGTTCTCCGGTCCCGGAGCAAGCAGTGGAGCCAGCGGGCGACAGTCCCCTGGTGGGGGATTATGGAGACCGGCACCTGCTCCATCCTCGCTTCGGCTCATGGATGATGGGACCAATGACGCAAACCAGGATGACGACGATGATGGGTTTCCCAACTTTGACCAGGTACGCCTCAATTCCAAGTTGGCCTCGTCTCCTCCGCAAGGTGATCCCCGCGATGCATATGAAGCTATTGAGGAAGACGACGAGGCTACTGGGCCAATCTTGGCAGCTCCCATCAAGCTGCAGACCAGCTGGGCCCTTGATCTAGAGCAAGAGAACAAGCATAAACCCATTGAGATGACCAAGTCGCCACTGGGTGACGGCCTCGGGGACCTCTGGGGCCTGCCACAACCCCCAGAGGAAGCCGAGCGTCTTCGTGATCTGAGTTTCACCAAGCGGCGCTGGACGGTGAATGAAAAAGCAGTATGAACTTGATATGCAAGCAAGACTTGCATGGGCAGGCTGACGGGGCAAGCTTCGTTGCATCGCGGCACGAGATTGCATATGAAATGTCTAGCCAATCTATTCTAATGACGCACTGAATCTTCACGTTTTTTACACATCAAAGTTATGGATGTAGCATCAGAGCACGGAAAGCGTATGTATTAAAAGGGAGATTGAAGCAGCAACTGCATTAGAACGGTTGATTTAGCAGGAAAGGGACGGTTCAAAAATCAGATACCCAGTTACGTTAATCGCGGGTATACCTATGAATGTATTCTTTTTTATTTTTATTTTTAACATCTTTTCATCTTATTGCTCTATGAGTATCCTCCTATAAGAATACCCAGCTTCGACTGGTCTTTCAGATACGGGTATATTTTCCCCGTTTCCTATATGAACGTATGAAACATTGCCTTGTGTAAACACGTATGTATGAATGATTTGAACAAAGCTGATGACAGAGACCCTGCCGTTATGATGAACTGCTTTCAGTGAAGGAATGCCAAACCCAACCCAACCCAAACGATGTCCGGCCTCGCTGAATTGGTCTATTTCTCCAAATATTCTATCCCATTGTCCTTGCCTCTCCTTCTGCTGCGTAGTCTCATGAGTCTATGTGGGGGTCGTTGCCTCGTTCATGTAGTTCGTGCACCGCACCACACCACACCCTTCTCTCTCTCGCTCTCTCTCTCGCGATTCGACTCCTCAACCTCACTTCTTGAGCTCCCCAAACGACTTGTTCATGAACTGGTGCGCCAGCTCCACGCCCAGGAAGGTAGCCGCGTTGGCGGGCACCGCCCTCGTCAGCGCGGGCCCGAAGCCAGGGAAGAAGGCCTTGAACCCCCCCTTGCCGTACAGCTCGCGCACGACCCCGCCGATGCTCACGTTCCCCTCCGCCGTCTGCAGGCGCGACTTGACCGTGTCGACGGGGAAGACGGGTATCCACATGGCCACGCCCGCGGCGGCGCCCGCGCACGTCACGGCCGTCAGGCTCAGCTCGCCCGTCGGCCTCCCCGTGGCCGGGTCCTTGGGGCTGAGCCGGCGCTTGATGAGCTCGTACGCGGCGAAGTAGGCTGCGGAACCGGGGCCGTCGCGGGCGAGGGTGGCGGCGCTGCCGCGGAAGACGCTGCGGAGCCCGCCCTCGCGGTAGAGCTGGCGGACGACGTCGAGACCGCCCGAGTACTTTGGTTTCTCGCCGGGGGCGAGCTGCTTCTGGTCCTGGACCTGGAGGATGACCTTGACGCGCTCGAAGGGAGCGGTGATGGCCGTCATGGGGATGGCGGAGAAGAAACCGGCGGCGGAGATTTGGCCGATGGTGAAGCCGTCCGGGCCGACGGTCGTGAGGCCGGAGACGATTTGCTTGCCTAGGTCGTAGCCCCAGAAGGAGACGGCGACTTGAGGAAGAGAGAGGAGAAAGTCAGTATAGGCGTCGAGCAGAAGAATGATTGCTAGGATATGAACCCATTGAGGTGGGAGATGTACTTACACATGGGAGTGACACCGACGAGGGGTGCCGAGACACCGGCGTATAGACCACGGCGCAGACCATCTCTTGCGACACTCTTCCTGACAACATCCATGGCCGAGGAATATACCCCACGCTCGGCGGTCTGAAGGCGCACCTTGACGAGATCGAATGGGTGGCCGACGATGACGGAGCAGACACCACCAAAGGCGCCCGCGCCTAATGATCGAATCTGCGAAGCGAGTGCGTTCTTTGCATCTTCCTGGGATGGTGCGTGCGGGATCTTCTCAACGACCGCCTCGGCCGCCTGGCTCGTTGTTGTGCTAGTGGTCGACATGGTTTGTGCGAAGAGGAGGGGGAGTAGATGTCGAAATTCGAGGAGAAAAATGGAGGGGGAGGCGGGAAGAAAAGGAGACGAGGTCGAGGACGACTGTCTCGGTCAACGCCGGGTAAGACGAACTGTGACTGTAATATGCGGCGTGAGGGGTGGTAGGTCGTTGGACGAGAAAGAGGAGGGGTCTTCCGTGCTCCCGATGGAGGTGCTCTAGCTTCTGGACAAGGCGGTGCTGTGAGTATGAGGGCGGTATATAACCAATCGCAATCGCAAAACCTACCTTGGAAGAGAAACGATGCGCGAGAGCTGATTTGGAGAGAAAATCGAGCTTTCTCTAAGTTCTATTTTGATAGCGCGATGGAAGCCGTAATGACAGTCTTCTAAATGGCCTGCTGGAGGGGTCGGAGAGTAGAGGCAGTCTGGAGGTAAGGAGGATAGAAAAGATAAGCCAGGGCAGCGGCAGGGACAATGGCGATGATCCGATGATTTAGGATTTCGCGACGGCTAGTCTCGTGTCACAAACCTAGAGCCTCGCACCCAGGGTCAGATCGTTTATTAGGGTGTGGTGCGATGTGCGGACGGTCGATCATCCATGCCTTGGGCCATGGGCCGCAAGTGGTGTGTGCCTCGGCTTCGGCTCAGGGCGGTGACGTACCGTCGCGCTGGCCCGGGCTGGCACTATTCTGGGGTTCTATCTCGAACCCCAGGGCCCACCACCCACTACGAGCACCCGAGCTTAAGGGCTCCCGGGCGGTTTTAGGGAGCCCGAGTCTGGGGTGCCACGGCCAACAGCAACATTGAACATTAATGGACGTGCAGCTTCTGCAGTGAACTCCCCCAGGGTCAGGCACTCGCAGCGGGCCTGGAGAAGGTTACACATAGGTGCACTCTGTTCATGGGGAATACCAAGATTTCTCGCCCAAGGAAACATATCAAGGTGCCATCGCACCATCGGCCATGTATTGTCCTCCTCCCAGATTCGGTTCCTTATAGCCCTGATGGGTGTACCGCTGGTCTTGAACAGCCGGACTACCGGCCACTAGCCGTCCCATCTCCCGACACACACAGATTTGCTGCATGCAAGATGGAACCTTGATTCTAGCCGAGATCTGCCTGTGGCCTGCCAATCTGTACTTCCGTCCTCCTGTCGGTCCATCATGCATGAAGGTCGCCGTGGAACCAAATCTTTGTCGGGGCCGTAATGTGCAATCGCCCTCACAATCGCCTGGGGCCCAAGACAGTCCGAAAAGTGACCCCTTCAGTTTTCCCATAAGACATCATGTCATCTGGCTCTGGGGAATGATTGGCCCACCGTGTTCCCGCTTTCACATGTGAAGCACTCTCAGTAAACGCCTCATAGAATTAACATGACACGAAATAACAACCAGCCAGAAAGATTGACATGTGCCTTCATGTAGTGGGGAGGCCTGATAAAATAAATACTGCAGCTGCTTGACAGAGGGGCAAGCGACTAACATAAAAGATCGCGTATCCAGGACCTCAAACGTTGAATTTTAACACAATATCAAAGCAATTAATCAACAATAATCTATAATAATAAGCTAAATACTAAATAATGATGATTAATGATTGTCTTATTTTTAGATTTAGTATTATTAACAAGGAAATAAGGTCACTGACTTACATGAACAGAGCGTTGGTGTGCAATATTTTATGTCAGTCGTTCGAAGGGTCACCTTAGTGTTACGCTGAAAACTTTAGTGTTCTTGTCGCACCGGACACTCCATTCTATCACTGTGAGCTTTAGTATATGTACATACAATGACAGTATCTCTAAACACCTTCAACCACTACCTCTCCTCAGTCGAGGATGCCTTATTTTTGCAATATTAGTTCTCAAGTATGCAACCCCCACATCTATGCTGCTCCTCGCTAACAGATGAAAACTCTGTCCAATATGCCGAATGATCCAAGGGCACCTGATCCAAGATGGGGCAGCTTATTGAATACACATGTTGCTGAGCCACAAAATCCCTCCTCTAAAATGGTTTTGGTGTTGATGGCAGATTCAATGCTCGCCCTCTCGTGCACCAGCAACTGTTGTCTCCTTCTCTTTCCACCTGTACAATCGCAACGACGCCTTCTTTCTGCAAGTAATCCAGGACACGCTCCCTCACATCGTTGAGAGACGCATTCTTAGCAGCGACAACATGTACAACTCCTTCCAAACTCCAACCAGCATCGGTTCCTGTTCGATCGCATATCCAAAATTTGGGCGCCGCGTAGCTGACGACACCGCGTTGATTCAAAATCCCACCCAATGTGTTTCGAAGATTGTATTCTGTAGTCTCTGGCACGCTCAGCAGAAGCCTTTTCGCACATGACATGACCAGCGGCTTCGAAGAAAGAAAGATCAGCGCGGCAATGAAACATGATGCCAGGGGATCCCAACCAGCCCAACCCCAAAAACTCGTTAAAATTGTTGACACAATGACAGATACGCTACCGAGTGTATCTGCCAGGACATGAAGGTAAATACCATGCATGTTCTCGTTGTCATGGTCATGGTCATGCCCATGATTGTGACCACCGTGGGAGCTGCATCCATGATCATGCCCGTGATCGTGAGAATGGTCATGCCCATGCCCATGTCCATGGGAATGATCGTGGCCATGATGGTGATGATGGCCGAAAGCCATCATACCCACCATATTGACAGCCAGGCCAAGGCTGCTCACGACAAATAACTCGCCGAGACGCTTGGTTTTTGTCCCTTCCCAAAGCCGCTCAAAGGCTTCAAAAGCAATCTCAAGACTCAGGAGCCTGCAGAGCCATCAGTTAGCTAGTTCAACACCATGCCAAGACGTCTTTCGACCAGTACTCACATCAACAAGATACCATTTGCAAAGCCACTGAGGGTCTCAATTTTGCCAAAGCCATACGGAAATCTCTGGCTTGGGGGCCACTTGCTCATCACTGCGGCCACCAGCCCTACAAGAAGAGCCACGCAATCAAAAAACATGTGAATACTGTCGCTGAGAAGACCAAGAGAATCGGTAAGGTATCCGTAGAACGCCTGGACGATCATGAACGAAAAATTTAGGCTGCAAAAAGTTAGTCCCCGTTTGCTCGCCTTGATTGAGAACATCAACCTACACCATGAAGTAGAAGATCCGCCTGGAATCTTTCTCTGATACAATCGCATGTAATAATGGAAACTTGGCTGTATATGGGAGAATAAGCTTTGTGAAGAAAGAGCGTTCCGAGTTCTGCTCTTGAGTCGAACCGTGGGGGTGATAGTGGTCATGGTCATGTTTATGCTCGTGATGATGGTCGTGATCGTGGTCGTGGTCGTGGTCATGGTGATGATGATCGTGGCCGTGGCTATGGTGGTGATCGTGGTGATCGTGGTGATCGTGGTTCCCATGGTCATGAGAGTGCTGTATCGGCGGCGCATATGGCGTGCTAACAGTATCAGGTCCTGGGGTGAGTATGCTCTTTCCGCCAGCCGTTGTTTCTCTTTTCCACCCTGCCATCTTGTCTAATGCTTGGGGGCGCGATCTCCTGCTTGCAAATGTAGCGTCGGAGATGGATACCTGGGAGTCCGTTCTCCCGTGCGAATGGGTATGTTCATGACTGGATTCTTCGTGGGATTCTAGTTGCGGGTTCAGCCCGCCGTTGGACATCGACGACTTCCATGAACCGATCGATGCCTTCGATCTCGAATGTGAATGTAGTGGATTCTGGTGTGCGTGGGGTAGAGTTGACGACGGGAGGGCATATGACGATGTCATGGTTGCTGTCTCTCGGAGCAGGAATGCTGCCCGACGCGGGCCGACGGCTCAGACGTTGAGGGGGTCAGGAGGCTGCTGCGCCTAGGAAGGGAGATCCAAAGACTCCCCAAGGATCAAAACGATCCTCATTAGCCGGAATTCAGGCAATGTATGACGAACGCGAACGCGTATGCTCTACGCTGGAGGTGAAGCGCACTGTCTCGGGGGGTGAGACACCAGCTTCGGCCGGGCTGGAGGCGACACAGGGGATTGGTGATCCGTGTGACTCGGGGGGGCGAGATAGACGGCTTGACGCAACAATTCCCGTGCTGTTGATGCCTATCCAGATTCCGAGGATACTGAGATGATCTCTGGATGAACGCAGACCGCAATTGTGTGTTGTAGTTTGAGGAATGACCACGAAGCCCAGGATGGGTGAAATAAACCTGGGGGGACCTTCCAATTTCTACCGCATGAGGGACCGATCGTGCCTGCTGGTCGCCCCCCGAGCTGCTGCAGGTGCAGGGGTAAGAGGGGCTAGAGGGCGGTCTTGGCACGCCCCCAAGCCCCTGGTGGCTCCATTTGCGAAGGCTAGTTGCTATGATAGCGCCTTCCCAAGGTACGCAGGATCACAACCACCACATCACCCAGATCCACGATTCAGCCTGGTTTCGTTTGTGGTTTGTGAAGGCCAGGTGAAGGCTTGCGGGAATTCCTCGTAATCAATAGCAGCCGCCATTTATCTCTCACTGCGCTGTGGGCATATATACTGGTCGGTCGGGTGTTGCCAATATTGACACCGCCGTCGACAGGAACAGCGGTAAGGTTTATCTAACCGTGCTAATCGGCAGATAATCATGGGAGTGGTTGGGAAGAGGAAATCCAATCATTGCATCATCAGGAAGCGCGAAACATTGGAGAATTGACCGCGTCGTCGTGCATATTGTTTGGGCCGTGGTTGTAGTACAAGGCCAAGCGTCTGAGCGGGCCGTCGAGCTCCCCAAGATAAGGCCACGCCACCAAAAATTGCCTACCTGGGCAGTTCTTGGAGCTGGCTGGTAACTCCTCTCACTTTGACCCTGCTCAACGAAACCTCCACGGCAGCAACACGTTATCTCCAAATCGGATAACCCGCGATTTGGTGGAGTCTGAGGGGGTTGAATGACTTTCCCATCATGTGGCCGGCATTCATTTTATCCGTCCTTGCGGGTGGACTTTTTGTCGTCTCGCTCGCCTACTTCTTCGACAGTGCCAAACGCCTAGTTCTCAACAGCATCCCAACCCGGTACACCCCGTCTGAGAACCCCAAAGATGATCATATCCAGATCATCGTTGTTGGTGACATCGGTCGTAGCCCGCGGATGCAGTACCATGCCATCAGTGTCGCGAATCATGGCCGATATGTAGATTTGGTTGGCTATAAAGGTGAGGGGTCCCAAGTTGCCCGTGAGATCCATCGAATCTTGAGGTCTAAAGTATTATAGAGACGGCAAGGCACCCTGCTCTTATTGGAAAGGATAATGTTGCGCTGTATCCCTTGGCACCATATCCCGAATGGACCATTTGGGGCACCCTGCCTCTGCTCTCGCTGGTGTACAAAGTCATTCACCAATTCTGCACACTCTTCTACACCCTCATGTATGCCACGCCGGCTGCAAAATGGATGATCATACAGGTTTGCACGACTTCCTTGCCCGTGACGCTCTTACCTAGACTGATTGAGCCCAGAACCCTCCCTCAATCCCGATCTTCCATGTGGCGCTGATTGTTGCTTGGTTCCGAGGAACCAAGGTCATTGTTGATTGGCACAACTACGGCCATACCCTCATGCGTCAAACTCTACTCCTCAAGCCCCTAGTCCCACTCTATCGCTGGTATGAGAAAGGTTTTGGTCGCCGTCTTGGTGATGTGAACCTGTCAGTCACAGATGCCATGAACCGCCAACTCAAGGGGCCTGGTTTCCGAATCAAGAAGCCCATCTTCACTTTACACGATCGGCCCGCTCAAGTATTCCAGCCCATTACATCTACGAAGAAGCGTCTTGACTTCCTTCGTAGCTTGCCCGAGACCCAAAAGGAGGCGCAGAGCATTGTCGACGGATCGCTTCGGCTCATAGTCAGCAGCACATCCTGGACTGCCGACGAGGACTTTGGCCTGATGCTTGATGCGCTGATGGAGTATGCTCAATCTCTACGGGGCGAAGCATCAACCATTGATACCCCCCCTCCCATCCTGGCCATCATTACAGGCAAGGGGCCACAGAAACAGCCATACTTGGATAAAATCAAAGAGCTCACGGACCAAGGTCGGCTGCCCGGGATCCGTATCCTCACCGCCTGGCTCTCTACCCGAGAGTACGCCTCGCTCCTCGCCTGCGCCGACCTTGGGATCTGTCTCCACATGTCCAGTTCTGGCGTTGACTTGCCTATGAAGGTGGTGGACATGTTTGGCGCCGGTCTCCCTGTGGCAGCATATTCCGCATATGAGAGTTTTGGCGAGCTTATAAAGGAGGGCGTGAACGGGTGTGGGTTTAAGACTTCCAGTGAACTTAAAGAGGTCCTCCAACGTCTTCTAGGGGTACATGGCACAGAAGAATTGGCGAGGCTCAAGGCAGGGGCAATTGGTGAGGGAAGTATAAGATGGGAAGAGACATGGAATAGCGTGGTTGGCCGCATTCTTGAGTTTGTTGGGGATGACTAGAACCAAAAGAAAAGAGCATGATGTAATTTTAGAAAGCCAAGGCCTTGTGTATAAGGTAGGTAGAAAGCGACACATTTACACTATTTGGTGTCATAATATAAGGTACTTGTAAGAGCGCCAAACTCGGTAGCGCTCTCATGTTAAAATGACCAAGGGGCACTCATTCCAGTTAGGATTATTCGCAAACGCCTTGTGTCCAAAAACGCCAGAGATATCACCTCGGAAACAGATACTTCTTATCTTTATTCCAAGCTCATCTGCCAGGTTGATGGCTTAGTCCTCACCGAGACTTTCCCTCACGCACTTCCGGCATTTCCTCCTGAAATCTTTATGTTTGCCCTCTCTCTCCTCACGTAGCAGTCTGGCCGCCTCAACGTTTGCGGGACTCTCGTCGTTGGGACTGTGAAAAAGGCTGATGGTGCTCAATAGAATCGTCTCCGGAGTCTGGACCGGGCTCCAACGCTCCGAGGCTTGCTCGTATCCGTACTGGTCCTCCTCGGGTGGGTGCAAGATGGATATGCACAGTTTTCCGTTCTCGTAGATGTTCGGGTGGAAGGGGATCGGCGTTTGGAAAGTCAGCGTTGGGGGCATGAGCGGGTATGTTTCTGGGAAGACCAGCTTGGCTCGGAAGTTGCCTCCTGCACCACTCAGGCGGTTAGCTGGGGTTCGAACGCGCGCGGGGCACATTTGAGGACGTGTTGGGGATGAAGACGCAGAGACGAACCTCCGTAGTATTTACAATCGTCATTTATCATGAGCATAACCTCCCACTCGAAGAAGTTGCTGTCGCTGACCAGACCGCACGAGATGCCAGGCAGGTCCTTGCTCTTCTGCATCTCTTTGAGTTGGCGTCGTAGCAACGAGCCCGCGGCGGAAGTTGCGCTCATGGCGAGGGGATCAGAGGACTGCCAGTTCAACAAAAAATAGGTTTCCAAAACAGAATGGCGTGCAAAGTTCGTTCGCGTTTCCCAGTTCCCAGCCCCGTCAAGAATCAAGAGCTGCGCGGCAGAACCTATTTCTTTCGGTCAACCTTATGGTGGGGGTGCGGATGGAACTTCACCATCTGGGGTGCACCGAGAAGCGGGGCAGCGGACACATTCCGCGTTTGACGCCATTCGTGTGGTTGCATGGGGGAGTGAGCCAAACAAGCATGCAGCAGAAGCTCAGCCTACGCATGAAGGCTATCTTTGTTTTGTTTTGGTATTTTCTTGCTCTTGAAGCTAAGGCCGGGTGGGTTTGTTGAGTACAGGATGGTTATACAAGATCCAATTAGGTAGGTCATGTATTCTGGTCTGAGTCGCCTAGAAATAGGCGTGGGTATCAAAAAAAAAGAACAATGCATGCTTCCCTCATCACTTCTTCGAAGAACCGAACCCCGTAATGCCCATTTGGGCGAGCATGTCATCCTCGTCGTGTTCCCCTTCTATTCTCACATCCTCGCCGTACTCGGTTTTGATCTTTTCCGCCTCTTCCTTTGCCACTCGTTTTTTTTTCGCCTCGTCTCTCCTCTTCTTTCTTCTCTCCTCAAGCTCCTTCTCCCTCTCCTCTTCCCGTAGCTGCAGGCGTTCGTCCAGAGTCGTCACCCTTTCCTTTTCCAACTCTTCCTTTTTACGAATGTAGAAGTCTATTCGCTCGCGAACTTCTTCGACAGTTGCTCGCTTGACTTCGGTTGTCTGGCCCGTATTGATCAAATGCTGAAACGTGTTGAGATGCTGTTGCTTGACGTTAGCGAGAGTGCTATAGCAAAGGATCGGCTGCTCAAGCCCTTACCTCTACGTATGAAATATTGTCCTTGAACGTCAAATCACAGGACTCGCAGTAGAATCCGGCACCTCGCCCTCGCTTCCCTACACCTGCGCCCGCAGGCACCAGCTGTGTCTTTCCAACCTGCGCACTCAGGTCGAGCACATTCCGTCGGGCCGTCGTGAACGTTTCGTCGCCAGTCAATGGCTTGTAATATTTCTTCCCGGCGAGTTTCGCCTCATATCGCGCCTTGGACTCTTCCTTCTCCCTTGCCTCTCGCTCCTTGGCTTTGGCGGCGTATTCGTCGAGGTCGTAATTCTTGCGAAAGTCGGTGTCGCTGGCTGCCTGGCCGTACGCGCTACCATTCTTTGAGTCTCCCATTGTAGCTCGGGTTTGCTGCGGATTGCAACAAAATTTGTTTGAATTCTTTCGAGCTTGGCGTCTCTTTGGCGGTAAAAGTGTTTGTGTGCTGGCGCGTATGTTTGATGGATCCAATTGCTCGTGGAAGCTGTCGCAGCGCGCGCTTGAAAAAAGTTAGACGAGAAATCGCCAGCCTGACGTTCCGCGTCCGTGCCAGTTACAGGGATGCGCTTGGTGTGGGAACGCTAGAAATACCCCGCCGCGGGGGGCACATGTAAAACTTTCCAAATAGTTTGCGATAACTTTTTTTTTGGCCCCTTCCTCAGTTGCGCATCCATTCTGGTCAGGTTCAACCGAAAAGGAAGAAGAATGTTGTACCTCGTGGGGCTTGGTCTCTCCGATGAGACGGACATCACCGTCAAGGGCCTTGAGGTCGTCAAGAAGGCTTCCAGAGTCTACCTCGAGGCCTATACCAGCATCCTCCTGGTCGATCAGGCTGTTCTGGTAGGTATCGCACAGCTATCGAGGTTTTGCAAGGAGCTAACGCTGACTTCTAGTAGGAGAGCTACTATGGAAGGTCTATTGTAGTCGCCGATCGTGAAATGGTCGAGTCCAACAGTGACGAAATCCTGCGCAACGCCGAGAACGAAGATGTAGCTTTCCTAGTCGTCGGAGACCCCTTTGGGTAAGTCATACCAAAACGACAGTTGTGGCATTCAAAATCTAATAGCTCCCCATAGCGCAACAACCCATACGGATATTGTTCTCCGAGCCAAAGAGTTGAATATACCAGTCAAGACCGTCCCGAATGCCTCGATCATGTCAGCAATTGGAGCATGTGGCCTCCAACTTTACAATTTCGGACAGACTGTATCCATGGTCTTTTTCACAGACACGTGGAAGCCCTCATCCTTCTACGACAGGATTAAGGAGAACCGATCGATCGGTCTACATACTCTAGTACTTGTCGATATCAAAGTCAAGGAACAAAGTTTAGAAAACATGGCAAGGGGGAGGTTGATCTATGAACCACCCAGATACATGACCGTAGGGCAATGCGCGCAACAAATGCTTGAGATCGAGGACGAGCGAAAGGAAGGTGTCTACACTCGCGACAGTCTCGCGATAGGTGCTGCTCGTGTGGGTGGCAAGACGGAGAAGTTTGTTTCAGGTACACTGGAGGAACTTTGCTCTGCTGACGAAGAGCTGGGACCTCCTCTACACAGCCTTGTTCTTCTAGGCAAGAGGGCCCATGAATTGGAGCACGACTACGTGAGACAGTTCGCGGTCGATAAGGACAAGTGGGACAAACTGTTCAAGGCAAACTATGGCCAACATTAAAGGGTCAAAGTTAAAATACCATACAAATGCTCAAATGAGTTACACGCCATCGTATCGGGTTACCGCCCTATGTTGGCAGTAGGAAGCGCGAAAGATCCTGCTCGAGATATCCGATTTAACACCCCTTCTCAATGAGTGACGGCTCGCCATTGTTGAACCTCCGCAGCGCTTAACTCCCGGAGTTTGTTGGGTTGGGCCGGCTTCCCTGTGACCGCACCCGTAGCCACCTCAATCGCACGATTAACAACGTTCTTGGCTGTCAGAGTATATGTCGCCGTGATGGTTTTCACCCGAATGACACCAATGCGAGGGTCATTTTCTGAGCCATCATGAATGCCGTCGCCTAGGTCCCCAAGCCATGCTTTCAAGATTGGACTGTAGTGATCTTTCACAAAAGTACGGTCTGTGATGATGCTCGCGTTACCCGCAATAGAGGCCCATTCCCCAGAGGAGTTTAGAAACGAAATGTTCACATGCGAATCCGCCGCGAGGTCATTTGTCTTCCCAGATTCGGTATTTGTATGAAACAACAAGTCAATTCCACCGCTTTCCTACAAGTAATACACCAGTTAGTCCACACAGGCTTTGAGAATAAGTTCGACACATGCCGCGCTTACAGTGGCTGCCAGGGCCATGCATCGTGACACAAGATTTTCGGATGATGCCTCGTGGGTGGTCAACATGCCAAATTTGCTATTGACCATGAATTCCTTCAACTCTTCAACTTTCGTCTTCAAGTCGGGGTCGGACTTGTTTGCCTGCTTATAGGGATCGGCAGGCTTGTCGCCGGTGGAAGTGTTGGAGAATGACATTTTGGAGTATGAATAATGCAAAACCTTCGAAAGATGTAGAATTGGATGAATTAAGCTTGGTAAAAGAATCAGGCGCGTTGATTAAATACAGCGAATGGATCTGAGATCACACCTTCAATGAGCTCATTCAGTATCATCATTTGGCGTTCATGTCATCATAGACTACGATGCTCTCTTTCGGCCGATACCTATGTGCAAGGTCATGACGTCAACCCAAATGCAAGAAGCTACCTTAAAATGCGTTTTGGATTAAAAATCTAAGACACGAGGCAGTATCTTTTTTACCGAGACCAACTCTCCGGTTCGATGATATACTGGAAGCTACCGCATGCCAGGATCACAGAGCAGCCAGTGACTGTCAGTATCGTGCCAAGTGGGCGACATTGAAATTGAGAGACTCGAACATTGCTGCTTATTCTCAAGTCTGCGACCGGTATTATCAGATTATTTGGGTCCCAATAATAAATAATACTGCACTTATTGTTAATTTATCCTATTTTTATACTACTAAAATTCTCTATTTATTATAGAAAGCAGTCGATTAATAACTAACTCTTCCATTAGGTGTCTCATTTCTCCTGTCACCCACTTGCGTGCCTCCCCGCTATGAGGTTGAAGCAAATCAGTAGGCAAATTACATTTAACTTTGGGAACGAGTGCATAAGACGTGTTTGGGCACCAGCTCAGCATCTCCTGGATCCATAGGAAACATTTACTGCCGTTGGCCGAAACATCTCTTTTTTC